CGTTAAACAATAATAAATACTAACCCGAAGGATCCCATCTTTCACCATGTTTGATTAAAACTGATACGTAGTTGTCCATCACAACAAAATCAAGAATTTTCAAAGATGAAAAAAATTAAACTTCAATTACTAGAATGTGGAAATTTTTTTGTTGAGAATTGAAAAGAGAAACGTTGAATTTTTTTTGTTGCAAATTGAAGAGAGAGAAACGTTGAAAAAAGAAGAAGATAAAATCTAAATTTTTATTTGATTTTAACTGATTTGAGTTAATTAAGGATACTAAATAATATTAATTAGTTTAAATCCCTTAATTCGTGCTATTTATTAATTATCTACAAAAAATGATATGATCTGATTTTTTAGTTTATCTTAACTTATTTTGAGTGAATTAAGGATAAAAAATATTGTTAATTGGATTGAATCCCTTATTTCATGCTAATCATTAATTATCTACAATAAATTTCAAATTAAATTACAAGCCACACATTCACTTTTTTACTTTATTATCTATAATTCCATTTTTTTTTAATTCTCTTTTATCTTTTTTTTTTAACTTTTTTCGAATTAATAAAAATATTTCTTTTATTTGTGAATTTGTTATAACCTGAAACTTTTAATGATATAGCTTGAAAGTTTAAATCTACTGGTATAGCCTGAAAATAGTACTATAATATATGTCATATATGAAATTTACACGGTGTAAATTAAAGGAAAAATTTTGAAACCAGCAATATTTTATCTTTTAGTGGGACTCCTTAGCAACAGTTTCATTATTTATTAAAAATGTCATTATTTTAGTTTGTTAATGGATTAGTTATGTATTTATTTTATTTTGATTAATTTGAAAGAATACAAAAATTAATAACAGAAAAGAGAAAATCATGGAACGAAAAATTCAAAAAGGTAAAAAAAAAGGTTTTAAATACAAATCAGTTACCTTTTGAAAAAATTATAAATATCCTTCTTTCTGTCGAGACATTTTTTTCTTTCTTCTTAAGGACATCATTTTTTTAAAAAAAATAATTTAGTTTGTCTTCCGAATCATTCATCTTATAACTTTCAAAGATTCTTCAAGTTGAATACGGCATATTTTTTTAAACGAAAATTTTCAAAATTGAGGACTATAAATTTGTCGCATCCAGTGAACAATCGAAAAACAATCAGGTATTTTTTCTATTTTTTTCTTGTTTGGATGAAATATTCGCATATGTCGAGTATAATTGTTGTTTTTTTCCTGATTAAATCAGTGAAATAAATCTTTGTATGTATTGAGATTTATAGCTTTTTACGGATGTTTTGTAATATAGGGATACAAGCATAACAATTCTGGACAGCGTACAACTATGGAGTAAAAAACATCAACTAATTAGTGGTTGTATACAGATTTTTGTTGACTTGTAGTGATTGCTGGATACAATTAAGTTGTATTCCAACTAAAATGTATTTATATTCCAGTTTGTTATATTATTATTATTTCACTGAAAATATTGTTTTCGAAAAACATAGAATTAAAATAATTGTATTTATATTACAATATCCAGTTTTGTTATTTTATTAGTATTTCACTTTAAAATTGTGGCAACTATTTTTCTAGCTCAGTTTGTATTCCAAAACTAATAATGTATTTCAAACGCAAAATTAATACAAATAAGTTTGTATCCTTTCTTAATTCGTATTTATATGTAATGATTAGATTATATTGGGATTACAATCATCAACATTTTGTAATAATAAAGAAAATATATTGGCAGTTATGTAATACAATTTGATCACTCGGATACAATTTTTAGTTTTCACTATGAAAGTAAAATATAGTTTTAAGTTTAATTTGAATGGTAAAGTGAGCACATAAAATACAAAAGTTGTTGGTATACAATTATGATGAAAACATAAATAAAAAAAGAAAGTTTACAGTTTTGGAGAACATCGATTATATCGAAGTTTGAGTTGGGAATTCTTCTTCCAAAAGTTGTTTGTCTAACGAAAATTTTAATAATTTGTATTTCATTTGGCATACTTATTAGAATGAATACAAACTAATAAAGAAATACAAATGTCATTATACAAACCCAAACATGAAAATCATAATGAATACAAATACACATATATATTGGAATGAATACAATTTAGGAAAGGATATAAAATTCTGAAAAAATACATTACGCTGTGAAAAAAATAAATGAATACAAATATGATTCTTCAAGAACTACAGATCAATTTGACATACAATTTAGCATCCATATTAAAATGAATCTCATATTGTACATAGCCTTTGCCTCAACTGCAATAGCCGATTCAATCCAATGCCACAAAGTTCTACTGAAAGCAACTGCAGTAAGAATAACTTGGGGGAAACTTGTGGCACCTTTAATGGGG